TTAATATTGTTCGGGTTTGCACCATAGTTCAGCTAAAATGACTTTTAGCATTTTAAATGAAGAATCAAGAGCCATTTTAATTCCCAGAGGTGCTTATCCATTGCGCTTTAGAGCTGTATTAATGTTCTTGCATATTTAAGTGGTTGTGTTTTTTTTGAGACACCCTGTATACTCATTTAAGGGCTGTTTACATGAGCCCGGTTACCCGAGATTCAACGAAGCGTGAGATGATTTTGAAGTATTGAGATGAGCAGATAACATGATTCTGGTAGTCGTATAATCACCACAACAATAGCATATGCTTGTTTGGTGTCATAAAGACTTATTTCAATACCTCAAAGTCCTTTCACGCTTCGTTGAATCTCGGGTAACCGGGCTCATGTAAACAGCCCCTTATTCATTTTCGTACAACCGTTGAAACAATAGCTAACAAAGGAAATTAGTCAGGCAAAAGACGAATATATTAATATGCACCCTGCCACTTAAGCTTCTAGCGACGATCCTGAATACTAATTTATTAAATAATTACAATACTTCCTGCAGTATTTTACATTTCTTTAACCAACAGTTTATCTGTTTTACTTTTTAATTTTAGAGAAGTAATCGTTATCGTAAGAAGTGCCAAAGGGAAACGAGAACCGGTCGACGGAATTAAAAATTTGGAACCTTATGATCAATCAAACGTACAAGTTCCGTACATTACCGCTCATTTAAACGCTAGTACTCTGCCTTTGACACTTGTGATCGGTGATGGCAAACGGTATAAATACAACAATGAAATATATCACAATCAGCCACTAACACCGAATGCGAGTTACGTGGTTTTTCTAAGATTTTTTGAAATTCAGGTATTGAGCTATAATAATATTATTTTTTATTTTGTAGAAATATCTTTGACCTCAAAGTATAATTATTATGATTTTAAAACTATGATTAACATAGATGCAGAGCAACTACTCGACAGACTGGAGCAACATTGTTACCACTTACCCTAAACCTCAAGGTATACTTGCAACGGGTTTTTTCCTTAAACTAGTATACAAGTTTATAAAAATATATGGCATAATGTTACAGATCATTTCAAGCGAACGAAGATGTTTGTTAAAAATTAGGCGAAAACGAGGCTAGTCAGCAAATAGCTGAGTGGCCTCGTTTAAAATTAGGTGCTGTTTATGCGATCCCGCGAAGTCGAGACTTAACGAAGCGCGAGATGACTTTTAGGTATTGAAATGAGTGTAATTGGCTTTTTTCACACTAGAGACGCATAATGAGTCAATATTTTTTTCTAGTATAAAGGTGCAACAAATAATCAGACGAATAAGTCGATTGAAACAGGCTCGAATGGATGTATTAGAATATCTGGTTTATTTTATCACTGTCTCATTTTCCAGAATTATTAGTCGTCTTCCCACGGGCAGACGCATTATCCGTCTGGACGAACTACAGTTGGTTATGCGTCTCAAAGACCAACACTGAACAATAATCGGCTGGACGTATTATGCGTCTGTTGTCCGTCTTTATACTGAAGACGAATAACCAGAGAAGACGCATCATGCGTTCTCTAGTGTGAAAACGCCCATTCTTATAAATGGATCCCATGATGGCAGTGTTTTCATCCCGATTATAGCATGTTCTTGTTTGGTTTCATAAAAATTAGATACCTTTAATTCATCTCACGCTTTGTAGAGCTTTTCATTGACTCGAAATTTTCGGGATCGATTTTATCTTTCGCGAATTTTCACACATCGATCAAACATATATACTTGATTTGGGCGTGTTTCGACAATTAAACTGATATTATTAATCGATATTATTTAGCTCCTTTTGACCTAAGAATCAAATCCATTGGCCCAAAGAGGTATAACATAACCTGGTCACTACTGCCTGAGTTCCTTGGCAACCTAAATGTAGTATACCATGTGAAGTGCAATGCATTTGGGAAATCGCGTAAATGTTTAATAGTACTCAAAGGAAAGAGTTCAGCCATTGTTGATGTCGAATATGATGAAAAGTATAAGTTTGAAATACAACTTGAGACTGATGTCGGAAAAAGTAACTGGGCATCAAAATCATGGACATCGTATATGGGTAAGCAGCAACGTAAAAATTAATGACACTATATGCGTATCGATCAACAGAATACAAATGTCTATATACTTATAGAAATTCTACAGTATAAAGAGAGAGCAGTAGTGTCACTACACTATGCAACCCTGTGCGGTAGATTGCCTGGAAAACACAATCGACTGGCTGTGAATATGATGATAAGACATGCATGAGACAAATATTTGCTTGAGTAGTCCTATTGTATTCTCTATAAACTGTGCATGGAAATGCTTTCTTTTAGTCCTACATGCAATAGTTTCCGCATGTTTATAGATAATTGATGTCTAATGATGAGCGCCCTTCGCAAAATGCATGACGCTCGGAGGGGTGGGTGGGGAGTGTAAGATTGTCTTAAAGGATATGAGGGGTGTCACTGATAACGTTACGCAAGACGATATGAAAATTTGTTGATGACAATGCCGCACAAAATTGTCTCCCAAATGAAGTGAAAATAGCCAAAAGTGAGTGACGTTTCCGCATGGTGAACGACTCATAAGAAGATATCCTTCCCGTTACTTCTTTTCAATTACCCTTAAAATAATCATTATGTCGTTTTCAGAACCTCTAGTGCTCATAAAGAAAGAGAAAAACAGTTACAAAGTAGCACTAAAAAAGCGAAAATACAACATTAGGTAAGTTTTATAGTAAATTTATTTGTAAACCTCAGGTTCTTTTTTTCGATTAATATTGCACTTCTATACTTACCCTAGCTGCAAAATTATATGTTTTTAGAGAAACTTTTCGTCTTTCAACAAATCATTAAAAAGCGATTTTACATGATACCGATAATCGTCTCACAATGCTTGCTACGCAATAAAACTTTTCGCTTTATTTTTTTAATCGTGACTGGCCAATGAAAACCTGCTACGGAAAAATTCTCACAATTCAAGAGAAAATCAAGCGAAAAACGTCGGCCTGGTAGAAAGTCGCCTTTTAAGCGTACCGCGGTGTTGGATTTCTCTTTTTAGAACTGTCGCTTTAGTAATACTGCAGCTTCAATCGGAATCAACTAAACCTATCGCTCCTGAATATATCAAACGTCTAACATCACGCAGAGAAGATGTCGCCTTTATTGCTAAAGAATTTAATGCAAGCGAGTTTCAGGTTGTTGGTACTAAGAATATCACACTTCGAATGTTTGAAATCAGTCAACAAAGTGTTCCTGATATTTGTGAACTAACACCAGGTGTAGCATATAGATGTGCACAAATGAACACAGACGAGTCAAACGTAAGTAGCCCAGAATACCAGAATACTTCGTCACAAGTATGGTTTAATGTTTTTGCAATAGCAAAAAAAGGTATTGTTGTGATTCGAAATCACTAAAAAAAAGAGCACTAACACAAATTGGCCACGTGGCATTAATTTTGTCCTCCTATAAAAAGAATGAATTTGGAATACGAATGAGTAGTAATTATAACCAAAAAATGTTATGACTGTGTCAATAATGCCGAAATTTAACTCAAAGTAATCGGCAAAATTGAACAATGTATCGGTTTAGTCCTGTATGAACGAAAACTTTTTCTGCCAATGATAGAACAGAAAGTTGTCAATAAATACCTCGAGTGAACTTCTATCTAAATCGAGGGACTCAACATACAGCTGCATGTTTAGTTGCAAATACGCAAGTTAATTGCCTTCACGAGGGAATGAATTCACTAGTGGCCTCAGGGCCGTAGCTATAAGCTTAATTGAATGGGGGCAAATATCCAAATGTTCGTCTTATGCCTGATCGAATGAATTATTTTTGTATTTATTTGAACATGAATAATATGAATATTCCTTCTTCCCCAGTTAAGCAGCTACGGCCCTCTTACCCAATTTGAATCTACCCCGATTCCAGAGTAAAGTTGATAATGAATTTAATATAAAGTCACTGACAATTCAACAGTGTAATGAAAAAAATAAATAATTTTGTTAATGTAATAATATATATAATTATAATTTAATTAATAATTCTATAGAATCGTTTCTGGTCATACTGGAGTGAGACCTTTACATTCAACAAAGTAAAAGGTATTTTAAATATTAGAAATTGCAAACAGCACAAAGAAGCGCACTCTCGATTATTCGATTTTTCAAATTCACGTAAAACGCGCGCTTAATTTAACCAACTCGTTACGCGAATGGTCCATGCACGATTATATTCATATAAGATATATAATTATAGAGAAAATGCATATGCAAAAATCGACGGTCCATTCATTTGTTGTGAACATTTACCAAAAACTGCTATTATAAAGTAAATTATATCAAATTAACTTTTAAAATATGTTCTAAAGAAAGCAGGCCATACTTGCATGTTTATCTATAATCTAAATTAACTTGTATTATTCTTAATAACTTTTACTGTAAATTTATAAAGTATTTGTTTTAAAATAACTGTTCTTAACCGCCCATGAACCATGTTGCTAATGATCCATGTTGATAATGAAAATTAGACAGAACAAGTTTGTGCGGATCCTAGGAACAGCGTTAGTGTCAATTAAAGCCTGGTTTCCATTTAGTCGTAATTGTCGTAAACATGTCATTTTCGCCGATGAGAAATTGTCGGGATGTAAATTCGTTTTCATTCCTGTATTCAAATCTGTCATTGTTGACTGCACACGTATAGAAATATTCTATCACATCAGCCACCTTGACATGTTCACGACACTCACGACTAAATGGAAACCAGGCATAAGTTGAACCATTTGTCGTACTTTAACTGGTCGTTGCAATTTGTTAATAACCACGGCAGTGCAAGCTGTGTGTTTTCCCATGTACAGTTTTAACATTCCTTTAGGTATATCACTACTTTATTTAAGGAATTAATTATTTTAGAAACCATGCGCGAAATTGTACTTGTATTATTGTGTGCTTTTTATTCAAATTATAAATATTTCGTAATTTGTATGCGCTGCCCCAATAAAGACGTTAGCAGTGATAGTGATCAGGATCAAAATGGAAATGATGGTGATGGTGATGGTGATGGTGATGGTGATGGTGATGGTGATGGTGATGGTGATGGTGATGGTGATGGTGATGGTGATGGTGATGGTGATGGTGATGGTGATGGTGATGGTGATGGTGATGGTGATGGTGATGGTGATGGTGATGGTGATGGTGATGGTGATGGTGATGGTGTCGGTGACGGTGAAGGTGAAAGTAAGAACGATGGTGGTGACATTGTTGATACGAAGGAGCGTAGTATTGACGCCGAGAATGAAGGCGGAGGTGTTGGTGCCATCGTTGGTGCGTCAATCTCGGCAGTTGTCGTCGCTGTTATCTTGATCTTGGCATTTATCTTTTTCAGAAAAAGGTAATACGAAATTCATTCGGGTATAGAAACGGTTTTTATATTGAACTAGTGTCCAACTTGCATGAGCAAGGCAAAAATGTGCTTACGACTATGCAAAACCCGCCAGTAATGGTGGAAGAAAATTTCATGCCTTTTTAATCCATCGTCAACTTTGCAAATTTCACAGCAATAGTCAGTAATTTATTCTATTTCATGATGTAAAGCTTCATTCCTTCTCCTTCTAGAAGAACACAAAAGCGACGAGTAAAAGAGACGCCTTCACTGGGAAATGTTGATGAAATGAAGACATTTGAAGTTGAAAACAATGTCGGTGTTACCGATGAGGATGATCAACTTGTGAACGAAATCGTAGATGAATGCATTTGTGAAAAAGACACAGGTGAATTTTTCGAAGATAGGTCTCTAGGAGACAATTCTGTTGTGATTCTTACATTCTTCGCCACTTTTAAGCTATTGTACTTCCACGGTGTTTTAAAATTCAAATATTTTAATTTCATCAAAATTTCTGTTCCTTTCTCTGGCATGCCACAGCACTTGACGATTGATTTGTCTGACATACTACTCAGTGACGTAGTTAGTTAACATAACGATTTAATCCAGCCAGGCAAACTTAACTGGTTTGAGTTCATTCCGCAGGTATTGACTGTTTTACCAGTACATAATTATATCATCACCCTGGCTACGTCACTGCTTGTTTTATCTATAACATAATTTCCCTTTTCCGACATGCACTTCACATACCTTGAAATTTATTTTGTTGCAACGTCACTTCACTTGACAACATAGCTGATGCACGTTCAAATTCATAATTTAATGACGAGTTCTTTTACTTCAGATGAGAAATGTGAAAAGAGCATCTCTCCCGTTCCGATTGCGGAATTCATATCCTATGTAAACATGCTCAAAACAAACAAAAATTACGAATTTCACAAAGAATTTGATGTAAGTATATAACACATAGAAATAAAGTTGCATGCATTTCTTACAAATTTTCCTGTGTAGAGAAATTTATAATAATATAGCATTCCTAGCCTTCAAATTTAATTTCGTAAAGAATAGAGTCAGTTTTTTCTTCTTAACACACCACTTACTTGTTCGGTTATTCGAAATATTGGTGAAAATAATACAATTTCGAAGACGAAATAGCCGCCGTAGCAGATTAAAAAAAAGTTTCCTTTCCAGTTAGGTTCTTTTGTTTTACAGACATTGCCTAAAGTAATGAAAGCATCTTCTGAAGTTGCTAAGAAGCCATTCAACAAAGAGAAAAACCGATATAAAGATATCGTGACATGTAATGAATTACTAAAATTAATGAGCTATGATTTATCGTTTTTGTGAATTAAGTGTGGATATTAAGTATCAGCAGCGCACAGTCTTATCTATATTCTTATTATATTTTCGTTTTTAAGATGACCATTCTCGAGTAATTCTTTCAGGAAATGAGGATAGTGACTACATTAATGCCAGTTATATTAATGTAAGTTATTTTTCATTGCAAATTGTATGTTGGCAGATTAAAGTTATTCACATTCATTTAAGAAATCGGGGCCTGTAGGGGCATGAAAAATTCTTCCTAACTAGAAACTGTAGAGAGGTTAAGATACCCGGTTTAGGTGTACGGGTACGGGTAGCCGTATTTTCTTCATTGGAGTTTCTTGTTGTTTGCACATTTCATGACACAAATCATGCTTGCTTTAAGAGGCTAAGTCTACTGGAAAAGAATTTTCGAGGTAATCTTCGAAAATATTGAGAAACTTTTGATGGAAATTAATTGAAAAAAAAAAAGCTACCCGCACCCGTGCACCGGAACCAGGGTATCTTAACCTCTCTTTTTAATCATAACCAGATATTCGGGACATTAATTACCATAAAAGTTCTTAATGCAAGGATTTCGCAATCAAAGATGGTTGTCTTGCTATAATAGAATTATATAAGGCACAACACAAAATTTGAAATTAAAGCTACTCCTATCTTAAATATTGCAGTTGCGGTCTTCGATTTAAGACGGGCTCAGAGTAACTCAGTACTTTTATGAAATTATTTCTATATTACCTTTAACAGGTTCCCCAGTTATGTTATTTCAGCAACTAATCATTATATTGCAATATATATAAGGCGGTATAGTTTCAATTTATATAAAGCTCTAAAGCCATGGGCACACTAGCTATACCTATAATGTCTTGTCATTAATTTGTCAAGGTCACACTGAAGAATTTAACTGAAAAAAACTGATATGAACACCAGAATAAAATATCTAATATGTTTCTATTTATGAATGTTTCTAAAGCGAGAAAACGTTGCGGTTATTACCCTCCTGAACTTATTCATTCCTAATCAGTCCTAGGCAATTCGTTACTAAACTATATACGTATATTAAATAGCGATATAGAATCAAACCATGTCAAAAATTTCCACATAATTTATGTTTGTATAGGGAATTGAAATAAATTCATACATCGCCTGCCAAGGTTAGTTTTATGGATAAAAACATTTGATGTTCTCCATCCATGCAGGTAATGCGTGTGAAGGAAAATATTTGATTTCTTTTTTACTTTATCTTTTTTATTTTAGGCCCTAAAAAAGGCACTGTCAGTGACCTGTGGCGAATGATTTGGGAGCAACGAACTTATTCTATTGTGATGGTGACCTCTATATTTGAACTTGGCAAGGTTTGTATGGTGCCCCATTTCAACCTATTTCGGATTGAAAAAATAAAGAATGCGATTTTGTATTTTTCGACTCAAAAATGCGTGTTTTACACGATTTTTCCCAAAAAATTATAGGGAAAGATTTTATTGCTTTTTGAACCCCAAGTTCATGTAGTTAATACAATAATTTGGAAACAATGCCATTTTCGTTAAAATTTTTTTTTAAAATTTTCTCTTAATTAATCAAGTTATTTCGACAAAATCTCTAAATTATAATTTATTTATATAGCCTTTAGTTAGGGCGTGGCTATATAATGATATTGAAGGCTATATAATTATATTTAATATGACAGCTTGTGATATTTATGCTGCTGCATGTTTATAGATTTTAGTTTTGGCTGTTTCTGGCTGTGTAATATGCATAAGAGTCGCGAAACATTGAAAATCTGAAACTTTTGAAAAGCCTGGAGCCGCTCACCAACAACCTGTTTCTATGGCTTTATTTATATAACTCAAATTATATTTTGGACCCCAATAAGGGCAGTTTTACATGATCCCACTTAGCTAAGATTCAACGAAGCGAGAGATGACTTTGAGGTATTGAAAAGGGTATTTAACTAAACTAGCTGCGGTGTAGTTATCCCGACAATAGCATGTGACTGCTTGTTTGGTTTCATAAAGACTTATTATTTAAATACCTCAAAACAGCAATCGGCGACAAAGCGCTTTCATGCCCGGTCTATTTAACAAATACAATGCATTCATTTGGCTGTTGCTATACATTTTATTACATGATTTCAGCCCAAATGCGAGAAATATTGGCCTGGAAAAGGAAGTGTAATGTTTGGAGATATCGAAGTAACTCTGTTGAAAACTGAGGAATTTTCCCACTACGTCATGCGTACATTGCAGATAAAAAGGGTATGAAAAAACAGGTTGTATGTATACCTCTATAGAAAAGCTACTGTTAGTATGTATGGAGTATATATCCCGGCATATAATAAAGAAAAAGCCTTTATTTTGTGATGTAGACAGAAGGAAGGAAGGCGAGGGTTGAGTTTTAATTAATATTATTTAAAAAATTCATAAGCAATGGCATCGTTATTAGGTATTTTGAACATATGTGTGAATGTGTTCTCTCATAGTTAATCGAAAATAAACATGGTTAGGAAGGCTGCATGGTAAACGTCAAATAGTCTCTTAATTATCGCACACATCTTTGATGTCTTCCATTGATTAATATTAAACTATTATAGTCAAGAAATCTCATCCGCCATAACTTTAATTTTTATAGGACGACGAAGAACGCGAAGTGCGACATTTTCACTTTCTGTCTTGGCCTGATCATGGCGTTCCCAAATATCCAACACAACTTCTTGCATTCAGAAGACTTTTCAGAACTTATCACCTGGAAGATTCGGGTCCTTGCGTGGTTCACTGCAGGTTGGTGGCGTTCAAAGTAGCTACGTGTGTTACATGCATGACACTCTCCAAATGCATAAAAGCGTTGATAATTGTGTTAATCTAAGTAATGAGTATTTTGATCTAGACATGGCCAGAAAATTCGGACATAGTTAACATTCTACTCCCGCCTAAATTTGCATATGGTGTCAAAATAAAGCTTCGTGAGTTTATAGTAAACTGTAATGTGCGCAGTACTAAACGCTAAAAGTACACCTTATTTTAGGTAGGTCGATTATAATTTGCCTTAATTGCTCGTTGCAGAGCAAGTTATTCATAATATTTTTATATAGTATTTCAAAATGTTTTATCAGTATTCGTCCTGCATTTTCAAAACAAAGTTTTGGTCATTTATCACGTTGAATACCATATAAAACGAAAACCGTAATAGCGTAGAAATAAAATAAAAATGCAGACCCGACAAAAAACTTTTTCCAGCAAAATATTACCTCAGGATCTTTAATATAACACGAATTACAAGAAACAACCAGGGCAAATAGCAAGATGCAATGATTTTCTTAAATTTTGCGAAATTTAAGAATGCGCAATATAACTTATAGTTCTGCAAGCGAATAATATTTGAACAGATATGCAAATTTGCTACGGCAATCTGCATATCCCATGTCCGCAATTTCTGGCCATGTTTTTTTTACTATTGATACTGCTCTCAATTCTAGCGCTGGTGTTGGTAGAACTGGGGTGTTCCTTGCAATAGATACGATCCTTGAGAAGTTTGAAAAAGATATGATCGATTTTATTGACGTTTATGGACAAGTTTATGCAATGAGAAAGCAGAGAATGATGATGGTACAAACATTGGTAAGATTACGCTTTAAGAGCTTACCCTAACAAGTGCACAACATGTATATATGTATATATTTATTGAAAGACTAGCTTAGCTACTCGGAGTTTCACGCTATAAAGCGATCATCAGGCTAATGGCAGGTCTGGTTGCTATTCTCTATATTTACATCGTGATATAAGGTGTCGAATTACGTGTCTACATTTCGTAAAGAGTTCAGAGCGTTTGTTCAGCAGTGTTCTAGTTTTGTCTTTCATGATATGGAGTTTCTCCTCAAGGCAGAGGTTGCATCTTCTTGAACCGGCTTTGTAGGCTGGGACAGTTTTCAGTAGGGACCATGAAATCGAAAAATCTTTCTTAGCTTCCTTCAGCTTCCATATGTGTTTCGACAGTTCCGTCTCCTTGGCATACTTCTTATTCGCGAAAGATTTTGCGTGATTTCGGTAGCGTGTTTTGAAAACGTCCGCAGTGACTCCGATGTACCTGGCTGGTGGATCGTTGTTGCGCGTGGACACTTCGGCTTGGTAGACTACGTTTGATGTGAGGCATTTACCTTCAGCTGGGCATTTTTCCGGTAGTCTGCAGTTGCATTGTCGTTGTTTGCTTGTGTCGTTTGTGTTTGCGTTTGTCTGTTTTGTGTGTTTGTTCAGTATTTTCTTGTTGTGTTTGTTTATGAATGAGCGCATGTTGTCAAGACAGCCGTAGCTGATTCGTACGTTATGTCGATTGAAAATTTTATGGAGTTGATTGGAAGGTGGGAAGTGTTTGTCTAACAGATGTAGGAATTGTTGTCCGATGTTCGTTTTTACGTTTTTCGAATAAGGGGGGTTATACCAGATTATATGGCGATGCCGTTTACGTTTTTGCGTTGTGTTGCTGCTGTCGATGTCTACGTTGTTGGTTGGTTGCTCGTACGTAAGTGTTGCGTCGTAGTTGCTTTGTCTCAGTGCGTTGTTGTACAATTGAGACGCAGCGTCAAAAGTTGTTTTGTCGCATGATAATTTGTTGATTCGCTTGTTGATGGATGATGGAAGTTGTCGTGTGATAGCGGGTGGGTGATTGGAAAGGCGGTTGATGTATAGTGGGTCGTCGTTGGGTTTTCTGTAGGGTTTGTATGTTCCGTTAGCCAAGTCAAGTGTGACGTCAAGAAAATTTACCCGCTTCAAGTTGGCCGTGGCGGTGATTTTCAGCCCGAAATTCGAGAAAGTTTTAGTCAACTGTTTTCTGGCTTTGTCACATAATCTGCCTGATGTAGTGCGTATAACGGCGAGGCCGTCATCGCGGTACAGTCCGACGTTCTCCAGTTGCCCTTCAAGTTTATTCAAGATGAATAGACCGACGAGTTCGCAGATTTCGGCCCCATCAAAACTTCCCATCGTGACATCAAAAGCGTTTGCGGCATTCGACTTTGTCCACGTTTGGTTGTTGTTGAATAATAGTGATTGTCTGGCGTGCTTGATTATTTTGATATCCTGATCATGGCCAGAAAATTCGGACATAATTAACATTCTACTTCCGCCTAAATTTGCATATGGTGTCAAAATAAAACTTCGTGAGCTTATAGTAAAGTGTGATGTACACAGTATTAAACGCTAAAAATACACCTTTAGGTAGGTCGATTATAATTTGCCTTAATTGCTCGTTGCAGAGCAAGTTAATCTTAATATTTTGAGGCAGCATTCCAAAATTTTTTATCAGTATTCGTCCTGCATTTTCAAAACAAAGTTTTGGTCATCTATCACGTTGAATACCATATAAAACGAAAACCGTAATAGCGTAGAAATAAAATGAAAATGCAGAGCCGACATAAACCTTTACCAGCAAAATATTACCTCAGGATCTTTAATATGACACGAATCACAAGAAACAACCAGGGCAAATTGCAAAGATGCAAATATTTTCTTAAATTTTGCGAAATTTAAGAATGCGCAATATGATTTATAGTTCTGCAAACGAATAATATTTGAACAGATATGCAAATTTGCTACGGCAATCTGCATATTCGATGTCCGCAATTTCTGGCCATGGATTGCTAATTTAATATCCTGAACACTGCTGAACAAACGCTCTGAACTCTTTACGAAATGTAGACACGTAATTCGACACCTTATATCACGATGTAAATATAGAGAATAGCAACCAGACCTGCCATTAGCCTGATGATCGCTTTATAGCGTGAAACTCCGAGTAGCTAAGCTAGTCTTTCAATAAATATATATTATCGCTCTGCCAGTAATGGTATTGAGCGCTCTCCAACCATTGTCAAGTTCTGTGATCTTTTTGTTACAGTCAATTATTTGGATATATATATATATATATATATATATATATATATATATATATATATATATATATATATATATATATATACCCGTTTGCAAAAACGTTGGCCACAGATAGACAGATATATAGATAGATACTCGAAATCTAATTAGAATTGCATATGTTGTATAATATGATTGAAATCCCATGCAAATGTAATCATATGCAATTCTAATTAGACTTCGAGTATCCATCTATCTATCTATTTGCGGCCAACGTTTTTGCAAATGGGTGTAATATACTGTAAACGTTAATTTAATGGGAAATCGTTGGACATTTGTGTTGAAAATTTCTTAAATGCCACAGTTAGGCGAACAATACTGATATTAATAAAGCAAAAGACAAAAGTTAATGAAATAACCATGTTTAATGGTCACGTGATTGATTGACATGGACCACCCTAATGATATGTAAATATCAACATACTAGAAATACATTGTATGCATGAAGCAATAAACTTATATTTCTATCAAGTTGAATTAATTAAGTCGACTCTCAAGCTATCAAATTCGACTATAATCATAATTGTGCTACGAATAGTTTTAAATACTACAATTTTTAGCGAAATTTCAATCACTTTTTAAACAAATTCACCTTTAAAAATAAATACTTTTCAAATCAAAATCATTTCAACGAAATTAACGAATAAATTCAAAGAGGTGTCATACATTTGTTGATCAATCCACATATTATACTTACAAAATACTTGTATGCTTTAAAATACAAAATCTACCCATTTACCTGTTCAAAAACGCTTTAAAAATGCTTTAAAATCGTAGATTTTTTACCATCCCTTTGAATGAAAATTTTTCTATCCAAAGGCATCTTTTACATTATATTTTAATCAATTTTACGAGTCGATTTTTCGTATATTTTTAAGACCATCCAATTAAATAAAAAATACTATTTAAAAAAGTTTTGTTTGTAAACGTTTGCTAGTTACCAGTTTTAAATCGTCTTATACTCACGCATGCGCATAACTTACAAAAACGCCCAACGTCCATGACATAATGGCGGACAACTTTCATTTCGCATTTGCATTCCCGGGCGTAATCAAAATCTCCGAGCGGAATTAGTACTCTCGCCCGGTGCTTCGCACCGGCTCGGGGATGAATATACACTCCCCTAATTGATCAATCTAGCCACGGTCCTGTTTAGACTTCTTGTGTTCGCACACTTTCGTCAATAGTTGACGTATACGTTGATTATTTTTTAAGGAACAATATATGTTCATCTACGAAGCCATTCTGGAAACCATTCTGTGTGGGATGAACGAAGTTGATTCTTTTAAAATCCGAAGAGAAGTAAAAAATCTTTCTGATGTTAGAACCAGTGGCATGACTGGATTTCAAGAAAAGTTCAAGGTTTGCAATTTTGGATGCACGCATGCTGTATCCAGCTTCGACTAAGAGTCCTTGTTTTTCGTATAGTATTTCTTTTGAGCCCTTGTGTTTCCTATAGCGTTTTTTACAGTAAACCAAAAGACCTTTAAAGCTATTGGGATACCTCTCTTATCACCTGCAGCTTAATTTAATAAATTTGTTCAGAGGTTAGGTGAGATTTCTCCAAAACTTACAAAAGAAGAATGCTCCACAGCATTGGCTAAGGGAAATCTGAAAAAGAATCGCAACAAGAATGTATACCCAGGTAAGCTTTTACAAATATTTTTTGGTCAGGTCATGTATGGTGACTTATATCTTATAGAAATAAAGTTCTCGTTGTCGACATTGTATTGTAACTTTTTTCGCAAGTTTTTTTTCTGTTTTAGCCGAAAACAACCGTGTTCCACTTCAGTATGTAGAAGGGGTAGAAGATTCAGATTACATCAACGCAGTGTTTGTCAATGTACGTACTGGTTATCTTATATAGCTATATAGTACTATACTAAAGTAGTTCCATAACTAGCTATATTTAACAATTATTCGCCGAAGGTGAGGTGATTACTAGCTTATAAAAAAAGCTTTAAATCACAGAGCCTGAGGCGACTAAAAAGCTATATGGTCACTGAACAGTGACTATCACTTCAGAAACAGTGAATTTTGACCAATAGGAATACAGGAAAAACAGTAGTCACCTTGAAATTATACATCAATTATAGAGCATGCATTGCGAATAATTTTTTCTTCTCAAAGCCAAACTAATCTCTCAAGAAGTGTTTCATACGATTTCAGGGTTACCTTGGGCGGAATTATTTCATTGCCACACAAAGTCCACTGGCAAGTACAATCAATGACTTTTGGCGAATGGTCTATTGTCATAGATCATCCACGATTGTATTGCTGAGCAACGTTAAAAATGGCACGGTAAGTATTGTGTAATTAAAGTCCCCCTCCACCACTTGACGCAGATTTGCGTTCGCGCTACTAAGATTGTAAAACAAATATTTTTATTCTTGTTCTGTTTACAAAAAGTGAAACTTTTACTTATAGAAATATAAACCTTACACCACAATTACATTTCGTACAGATATATTTCCTGGTCTGTCAGGATATTTAACACCATTTCTGTCCGCTAAATGACTACGAAATAGGGTAGTTATGTTTGGATAGATTAAGAACACGCGAAATTTAGACAAGTTTTTAGACATGCATGCCTGGAAGTCCCAGTGAACTCTAATAAGACTGGAACGATAACTCAACAATAAAGACTAGTCATTGGATGAAGCCGATTTGAATATAATTTGCTGATTAAGGCGGCAGCCGAGCGAGCAAATCAAGCCTTCAAAAGAACTGGGGAGAGTGAAAATTCCGTAAAAATCGTATTTTTTGGCAAAAAATTGCGATAAAAGTGCAATTTTTATTTGACCACTTCAACTTTAAACAACGAATTTACCCTTTTTGGATAGACCTAAGTAATCCGCATCATCTTACTGTAAAAACCGGCGAGGTACCAGCTTTGTACTTGAAATATTTAAAGAATTTGAACGGGCCGAAAAAAAACTTCGCCTTCAACTCGCAAAAAAAATAGGTTTGCACCTTTTCACGTTCATAAAACTTGTTTTTTAGTAAAATCTAAGTGTCAATGCTTGTTTTAAGCTTTTATTCATGATCAGATGAGAAGGATTTGTGTATAAAAACCGGCGTTGTTTTGGTGCTGTAATTTCAACTCTTGGCCTTCATGGCGGCCATCAGTGCTGGCTTCAAAGATGGCGGCCAAGTTATCGTTCCAGTTTTATTAGAGTTCACTGGGAAGTCCTTCGATGTTATGAGCCTGCAAGCGTGCAGTTTTTGGACTCGATCTCGCTGTTAAAGTAAGTCCAGGGGCGGATCTAGGAATTTTTTTACGTCTCACAAAATTTTCGAAGGTCAATACTATACGTGTCCGATGGAGTAAGAAGAATATGGTTTTTTTATAACATCATTTTATCGTACAAAACTAAATTAACTTCAGCTTATCGTCTGAATGAATAAATTATACTTAGACTTTTCACTCTAAAGAACATCCCTAAGTATTTTTGGTAATTTCAGTCATATCCGAAATTTTGGCCCGAAGCCATGGAAAAGTCGGCACAATACGGCAGCTTGGCAGTCCAGTTGGACTCAGAAACTGAAGACGATGGTATCTGGGCGAGAAAATTTATCTTGTCATCTTATCCGGTAAGTTCAGTAGCTATAAATAAATATAAACTCAGCTTTTCTCACTATTTCAACAAATGTCGTAAAAATTATGGAACAACGACAGCTAAAAATATTCATCGCTGATATAGTGGCGCATTACACCGCGAAAAAAGAACAAACATTTATTACTTTTGGGTCTCGAAAAAAGAGAAAATACAACAGGCCAAATTAAAAGATATATTGAATTGAACTATACCCAAAGCATGTGTATCGATTTCTCTTTAATCGATTTTACCAGACTGAGGCAAGGTACAAGAACGTTTTGTTTACAACTATTAAGTAATGATTTTGTAAATTTAGGACTTATCAGATAGACGTGTTGTGAATATTTTCCACTACACGAAATGGCCAGTGCGAAGAGTGCCATCGAAAGCAGATGGCGTCATCTCCCTGATGTCATTGGTCGAGCAGTCTAGAAAGAATCATGGTCAGGGACCAGTTATTGTGGCATGCAGGTAACACTAAAAAACAAACAATAAAATTGTTGATGAATTTGTTGTAAACCTTTATATAGACTATAGTGAAGACGTGTAAATTATTTTCTCGGATACTCACGTCCGGTGAAAGTATTGCGCCCATATAGCGATGGAATTCGTTCCCAGGGCATTTTGCGGCAAGACGTTCGGCAAAAATAGCCCTGGAAAACAGCTGGGCATTTTGTACGGAGCATGCGCGAACTTGGCATCCACGCACACGAAACGCCTTCGTAGTTTTCGGAAAGACCTCGTATATTTAAATTTAAATAATGGCGGCTGATAGGAGTGAAGATAGTTGAATATCTTTTGCAGTAAAAGAAAGAATTCGGCACTTTACGAAAAGAAGAATATCATGTACGTGTAACTGCTGGTTTTGTTGTATCTTGTGGTACAAAACATGGCATTTAGAAAGCATCTGAATGATCTAAATTAGCAAACAATATGTTGGTTTGTCACACTCACAACTTTGTTTGTCACTTTCGTGTGGAAATTAAGAATTTCAGTCACAATGTGGTCGTCGTTGGTTAGTTAGCAGTTAAGGAAGCATTTATTGCAGGAAGCTTTCAGTCATTTGTCAGCTTTCAGCTGGACATTAACTTAAAAAAGCCACCAGAATCTTCACAGTTGGACTATGGCATGAGAGTATTGAAACCAAAATAGTTATGTTCATTTTATCAGATGTTGATCTTTCCATATTAATCAATTTATAAAATATATACAACTGTGCTATGCAAACAATCTCGACTCCTCTACATCATTTATTTAATAATTTTTATAAAAAAAAAGTGAAATATGGACAGCTATAGCAACAGTCTCAGGCCAAATTGAGCTCAAACATATATATTTCCACCTCCCTTAGGAAAATGAAAGGTTCTAAAGATTCCCCATTATTGTATTTTGATGCAAGCAATGTTATACTAAATTTTTGCTCAAATAATTTTATTATACTCTAGTTAAATGATCAGAAATAGGAAGTAACATATCCCACAGGCTAATTTATATGTTTGTTTACAGACAAAAATAAGTATTGTGCGCATTTTTCTCAGCATGCCCACTAACTTTTTTATAAAGTTTGAACAATATGGATAGTTTTAAGTCATGTTTCGGAGAGAGGCACTGGTAAAAATTTTAAAATATTTTTATATATGTGCCACAGCATCACATAATTTCACAAAGCAAGCATGGCCATATTAAAGTTTGCGGTTAGATTCTTAAAACTTACCAAATCAACAGGACTTTTCATAATTCATAACAACCAATACTTGGACATATTAAAATCACTTTTGCAGCAATTTTTACATCATAACAAACTCATGCAGAAGGAAGTTCGTAAGTATGTTACAATATGGCATTTTCAGAGTATAAGTGGTTTGTGAAATTACAACATCTAGAGCATTTTTCCCATGAGTGGCTAATGTTTCAATAAAACAAAACATGATTTAACTTTCATAAAATATACTTTATAACTGAAGGCAAAGGTCAGTTTTCACGAAATCGAAAGAGGAAAAGGTGTTATTTCTATAGAAAAATGCATGTTAAGTTACTTATTATTTCGCGTGAGAAGGGACAAATAGATTAATGAACACACCAGTGGAAACAACAATATGTCAGCTTCTGTCAAGAGTAAAATAGGGTTAATTCGTTGTTTGCATACTGCTGTAACCAGGTCCTGAAACTTTGACAATGAGTGAAATACTTCAACTTGTCGCCCATTTGCAAATAAAAATCCTTCGCAAATATTTACGAGAGAATGTCGTTATACCCTTGTATGCAAGCACGGGAACGTAATCTTTGAATACACCCTTTTATTTTCATGAACAAACCAGTAAAAAAGGAGAAAAAGCTCCTCAAAATACATGTTTTTGGCGTTCGAAGAATTAAAATTCTTCTTGAAGAAATGCGCCCGCAATTTTTAGACAGCGACAACAAAATGCCCAGCTGTTGCCCTGGAATAGGCAAGATTAGACCCCATAATCCCATTGGCCAGCACAAAACGAGAATTGGAATGAGAAATTTGCTTTCCTCCAGATTTTGATGCAATATATTAAGACAATCTAATTAGTTGATGCAAGCTAGGAACTCGCTGAGAATGTCACTTTAGTTAATAATAGATTAGAAAGTTATAAAAGCTGCAATGGAATCGCTTTAAAAGCAACGTTTCACACATTCAGGCCTAATATTGTCATGGAATAATAAGAGAATCACCCTGGGTACGAGGTTGCACTGATGTCAGTCAGTCGTGATCAGTGATGTTGATGTGAATATAGTGGCGCTTGTTGAAATGCGCATGTGTCCCGACAGATTTCTTGCGATCGAGTTGATGACATTTTTATTCAACAAAAACGTGACTCCTCCCTCCCGCCAGTTTAATGCATATTCTTTGCATAAAGGAACTCGAGCACACGCACGTACCGCAGAGTTACCTTCTTTAGTCCACTTATTATTATTTTATGAAATTGTTAACCACTGATTTAATATTCTAATAAACAAGATCTGCATAAATAATACTAATACCCTCTGTAGTATTTTTCAGACACTTGCGATTTTTTCTGCGATTTTATGTGCGATTTTCTTCTTTTGATATATGATAATTCTGTAAATAATTACTAATGCTCTGATTTATGCTCTTATTTGAACATCAGTAACTAATTCACTCGTGTACATCCATCAAAACAAGAAAATCGCACATAAAATCGCAGCAAAAATTGCAAGTGTAAACGGGCCTTTATGTGTAATGTGACCAGACATCACATCATTATGCCAGTAAACATTACCGAATAATTTATCTCATAAATGAGTGATTCCGGCCATCCTGATTCTATACTTTAAATTTCTCTATTTGAATTTTAGCGACGGAACAGGTCGTACAGGGACGTATATTGCAATTTCGAACTTGTTGGAACGAATGAAAATTGAGCAAACAATGGATGTCTTCCAGACGATAAAAATAATTAGAGGAAGTCGACCGCAATTTGTTGATAATGCAGTAAGTAGTTCAGTGTTTATATAGATCACGTACATTTAGTCATCAGCTCATTCCCAGCAACAAATG